TTTCCTGGTTCCTTGTTATTTTTAAGAGATCTTTCCTTTCATGGTCACTCACTGCAACAATGTCTTCAAGGTCTGAGAGTCTATCTTCAGTTTTGTTCAAGCAATTTTTCCAGCTTTCAATGGAAGTTTTAATTCCTGGGTATCTTTGAATTGGTTTCATGCATTCAAATTCTTTCCTATATTGTTCATTGAAGGTTTCCATCATTTTTCTATGCACCTCTATTTTTTAATCTATGTCTTGTTTATACACACTGAGCGATTCTTTCATTATGGTTTTCATTTCTTTTTTTTCCTGAGAGATTATTTCTGATCTGATTTCCTCTATAGCCCCCTGGAATTATTTCTTTACTTCAGTTGCGATCACTTCAGAAAGTTCAGGTGTGTGACTTCCAATTTGTTCTATGTTGGTATCTCCTTGACTTGTTCTGCATGGGCTGGAGGTCTGAGATTGCATTTTGCTCCATCTTGGCATGTTCTGGGTTCCTCTGGCAGAACAGGTTGCCAGGTACCAGATGCTTCCCCTGCTAGCTGCCCTTCCTGTGGTGTAGGGGGATGGGTCAGGCTCAAAGTTTCCCTGGCTAGGCTGGTTCCTAAATCCCAGGCTCTTCCCATGTTGGCTGCCCTTCCAATGGTGCAGGAGAGATAGATTGGGCCCAGCCAGATCATGTTTCTTTTTTAAAAAATTTATTGTCCTATGCAATATGATCTCTCATGGGACTGTCTTCCTAGCTCTCCAGGTTTTCAGGTACAAGAAATGTCCCCCACCCAAAGCAAGGTAAGTCCCCTGGGCTGGGAGATCCAGGGAGAAAGAACAGCAGCCCAGTCTGTAAACTGCAAAAACAGCTTAGGGTGTTGCTCCAAAGAAACTATTTCCACACAGCAGGCAACAGCTAGAGAGAGGTTTAAGCTCACCCACTGAATACCAGAGTGCATGGTCAGGTGCCATTTGGAGAAAAAGTTGATTACTTTAGTCTGAGACAACTGAAAAACAACTTCACTTCAGAGCTCTCAGTGTTACCTTCTCACAGTGATTTGGAGAGAGAGAGAGCTATGGGGACAGCTGAAGACAGGCAGCAGGCTAGAAAGAGATCCCTTGAGAAATTTAAACCCAGGCCAGAAAGGACACAGACCCCACCCTGAGTGGTACAAAGCCAGGCCCAGTTTGAGTTGTGCTCAGAAACAGCTGGGTCTGAAAGTGCCAGCTAGCATTGAGTACCTGAACTCTTTCCCTGCTGCCAACATCCAGCACAGATTTGAGGTCTGACTGCCTTTCCTATCCACCAACATGAGCAAGAAAATGTTTGAGCACGTACAGTTGGCACACTGGAATAGGGGGCACACCTCAGAAACCCACATGTGAAAAGAGTGAAAGGCTAACTGAAAACTGAGACTTGCTGAACTCCAAAACTGCAAATCCTAGATGCAAGAGTAGACACTAATAAAAAGCTAGCTGAGGCAAACAAAATGAAACAAAAATGTGAATAACCAGATTTAGCAAAGAACTAGAGTCCATGAAAAAGTTTCCAAACACAAATCCTGGAGGTTAAACATATACTGAAAGTATGTGCAGCAAAAGTGAGCAATGTGAGGACACGGTATTCAAATTAGAAGATAGGGAGGCTTTCAAAAACCAGTTACTGGGCTGGGGATATAGCTCAGTGGCACAAGTGCCTGCCTGGCAAGCATAAAGTCCTGAGTTCGATTCCCAGAAAAAAAAAAAAAAAAAAAAAAAATCAAAAACTAATTACTTACAGATACCTTAAAAGCAATAAGGAAACATAAAAAAATGGATTCTAAACCTGTTAGATGACATAAAGACTAAGATAAACTAGAATAAATGAACATTAGAAGATGACACAAAAGGCATTAAAAAAACTTTATAGAAATAATAGCAGAAAACTTTCCAAATATTGGAAAAGAATCATACAAAGATGAGTGAGGCATATAGAATCCCAAACAGCCACGATGAGAAAAGAACCTCTCCACAATACATCATAATCAAATACCATAATAGTCCAACAAAGACAGAATCTTAAAAGCTGGTAGAGAAAATGAATAATTTATAAAGGTAAACCCATTAGACTTATTGTACATTTCCCAAAAGACGCCTTAAAAGCCAGGAGAACATACAGTGAAGTGTTTCAAGCCTAAAAGATAACAGCTTTCAACCAAGACTTACATATTCTGCAAAACTATCTTTCAAAATTGATGGCAAAGAGCACACAAGAACATCATGACCACCAAACAACTACCTCAAAAAATTCTCAAGGACATCCTAGAAAGAGACAATGAAGCCAACAATACCAAAAAATCTAATAGAACAAATACACAGGAAGGGTGAGCAGTTAAAACAAAAGAGGCATGGGAGCAAATCAGCAACAGGAAAATAATGCAATGACAGGAATAAGTAAAAACTTCTCAGTAATAACTCTCAATGTGAATGGTGCCAGCCCAATCAGAGACCCAGATTGGTAGAACGGATCAAGAAACAAAACCCAACAAATAGTATAGAGCCAAACCTTGGACTGCAAATACTGAGTCTGTGAGTATTCTATAAGATGAGAAAATACTTCTAAGAAATTTTAACTTGATAAATGAGCAATGTCTTGCAATACAAGAAGTACGTTATGCTGAACATCACATGATCACAACGAGGGTTTCTCTCTGTCTCACTGCTTTGATATACAAGTGTTTTGGATTATGAGTAGAAATATGTTTCATCCAAAAAAGAACTGTACAAATTAAAAATCAAAGGAATGAAAACAATATTCCATGCAACAGGCACCTGGAAAAATTCAGGAAGTATGCATAGATGAAGTGAATTTCAGACAAAGTGGATTTCAAGCCGAACTGTTAGAAAAGGCAAAGAAGATCGCTACATATTGGTTAAAGGAACAATTCAACAGAAAGAGATAACAACTATACACCTGGCTTTATAAAACAAACACTACTGAACATAAAAGATCAGATAAATACCAAGACAATTATAATGGGGGTCCTCAACCCACTATCACAACTAGACAAAAAATCAACGAAGAAATATCAGAGTTGAACCACACCTTCAAACAAATGGACTTGACAGATATCACAAAGTGTTCTACCACCAACAAAAAACACATTCTTCTCAGCAGCATGTAGGACTTTCTCAAAAATTGACCACATGCTAACCCATAAAGCATGCTTAAGTAAATGCAAAGCTGAAATTACACCATGCATATTATCAAATCATAGTGCACTGAAGCTAGAAATCAATGCCAAAAGAAACCACAAAGATTACGCAAATACATGGACATTAAACAATAGCCTTTTGAATAACCAATGAGTCAGAGAAGAAGCAAATGATAATGCCAGTACAACATACTGAAACCTATGGAATAAAATGATAGCAGTTCTAAGAGGGAAGTTTATGCCTGTGAATGCCCACATCAGAAAAACAGCAAGTCCAAATAAATAACCCAATGATATACCTGAAGATCCTAGAAAAACAAGAAAAAGCCAAACTCAAAGCAAGTACAAGAAAGGAAATTATAAAGATCAGAGCAGGAAATAATGAAATTGAGACTAGGAAAACAATTCACAGAGCCAATAAAGAGCTAATTCTTTAACAGAATAAACAAAGTAGATAAATCTCTAGCCAATCTTACTAAAAAAAGGAATAACCCAAATAAGAAATTTAAAAAGGCAGAATTACAACAAACTTTGCCAAAATCCAGAAAATTACAATACTTTGAGAGCCTGTACTCCAATAAAATGGAAAATTCAGATAAAATGGGTAGATTTCCTAGATATATACAAACTAATAAAACTGAACCAAGAAGATAAATAAATGGATCAAAGATCTAAATGTTAAAACAGAAATAATCTACTATAAGATAAAATAGGTAAAATTCTTGAAGACATATGCATAAGGAAAGACTTAACAGAACCCCAATTATAGGAGAAATAACACCAAGAATTAACCAATGGGATTATGTCAATTTTAAAGGCTTCTGCACAGCAAAGGAAACAACCAACAGAGTCAAAAAACAACCTATTCAATGAGAAAAAAAATTTTAGCAGCTATTCCTTGGACAGAGGACTAATATCTAGAATATATAAAAAAACTGAAAGAATTAGACACCCCCAAAATAACACTCAATCAAAATATAGGAAACTCTCAGAAAAAATACAAATGGGCAATATATACATGAAAAAATGTTCAACATCACTGGCCATTAGAGAAACACAAATTAAAATTACACCAAGATTCCTTCTTAGTCCAAACAGAATGGCCATCATCAAGAAATCAGATAACAACAACTGCTGGCAAGACTACAGGGAAAAGAAACCCTTCTTCATTGTTGAAAAAGGAAACTAGTACAACTATTATGGAAATCAGAATGTAGATTCTTCAAAAAACTAAAACAAGAAATTCCATTCAACCCAGCTATTCCCCTCCTAGGTATCTTCCCAAAAGAGTTAAAGACATCATATTACTCATGCTTATAGAGGCAAAATTAATAATAGCTAAATCTTGGAAGCAGCCTACATGTCCATCAATACATAAATGGATAGAGAAAATGTGATCTTTATGCGCAATAGAATATTTCTCTGCCACTAAGAAGGATAAACTTGAGTCATTTGTAGGAAAACAGATGCACCCTGAGACAATAATGTTAAGTGAAACACATTAAACACATGAGCTTAAATATCACATAGTTTCTCTTATATGAGAAACCCAAACAAAAAAAATAGAGTAAAATAAAAGATAATAGGCAAAAACAAAGAGATGGAGGAAGGGGAAAGAGAGGGTAAGACAAAGGAAAACAGCTGGGAAGGAAGAGGACATAAAAAGAACTAAGGTGTGTTATGTACATGTACCAACTCCACAATGAACATGATCACTACCAACTACAAATATTTGCTAATTTTAAAAAAGGCAGCACGTGACAAGAGCCAAAGAAAAAATCATCACACACACAGAAATATGATCCCTCAGACATTATGAAACTGACATATACCTTATATTCTTCTTGCTGCTTCCTGCAGTTTCTGTCATCACACTGGGGATTTGGCTTCATGGACATAGTAGGAAAAAAATCCTGCATCGCATTGTATCCAAGGTAAAAACTAACAGTCCCAAAATTTAACAGAAACCTAGAAAAACAAATCACGTATGCAAACATAAAGAAATAAAACTATAAAATACTAGAAGTAAGTGAACTTTAAATAAATGATTTTGGAGTAGGCCATAAGTTTTGTAACACATAACACAGAAAACAGACCTTTTCTCTCTTGGTTACAGAGCCTGGCTCAGACAAGACACTTTCACATTTGTTGAATGAAAGAAAAAAAAAAAGATTAATCTATTTTATTAATTGTAGAATGCACCATTTTAAACTCCTAATAAAGATAAAGTACTGGCAATTAAAGTATTACATATTAAAAGTTTTTAAGAAGCATACTCATTTTAGAGATATAAAATGTGAGGAGTGTGTTTTTAAAGCTTCTGAATTATTAGTACTAAATCTACTTAATATTTTTAATTAGTTACTATAAAAATTACACAAAGTATATAATCTTGAATGTACAGAGCAACAAAAATTTATGTCTTCCACTAAGTGCCACTAGATCAAGAGACTGAGCATTTCCAGCATCCCATAATCTCCTTCGTGTTCCCTTCCCCATCAAATGTGATTTCCTGTCACATGTGATTCCCTCTGTCTAGAATAAAAACCGTGTATAAAACACAAATGATGAAAGCAAAACTAATTACAAATGCATGCTTTTAATATACAATATGGGAAAACAAAAGAACAACGGATATTTTAAAATATAATTCACAGAAAAATGTAAGTGCCCAACTCTTTTTACAAATAAATGGAAATTAAAAAGAAGTGCCCATTTTTTGTTAATCAGATTGACAAAGCCTAAAGAGTTTGATAATATCATTGTTATTAAAGGTATAGGTGACCAGGCACTCCTACACTATTGACGGGAATGAACAATGTTTTTGCAAGGTAAATTTAATAACATTTGTTGAAATAAATTCCACTTATGAAGATATATACTGTACAGAAACGATATATACTGTACTGAAACCCACTGTTCGGGGCTGGGAATTTAGCTCAGCGGCAAAGAGCCTGCCTGGCAAGCGCAAGGTCGTGAGTTCGATTCCTGGTACCAGAAGAAAAACAAAAACAACAACAAGAAACCCACTATTTGATGATATATGTAAAGATGCTTGAAGCATTGTTATTAAAAACCACAAAATATGTAAGTAGCCTAAATGTCCATCAACAGAAGTTAAACATATGACATATCCTTAGGGTAATACTTTGTAGTTTCCTTTTTGGTATCAGGCATAAAATGTTGTGCTTATATAGGGACTACCAAACTCTGCACAGGCTATTTGCTCTGATATGACATAGGCCTAGACTGCTGCCTTCAGAGTTTTTATGTGTGCATATTACAATTTCTTTGCAGGCAGCTGATATTTATCACAGGTATCACAATGCCTCCTTGTATGATGTGGCAATTTATTATTATTTTGTGTGCCTTAGGAAATATAACTAAGCTTATTAAAGTTGTACCATGAGAAAAAACTTCTTGCTTGTGTCAGGAGCTCTGCTTTTAATACAATGTAAGTTGGCTCACAAACTTTGACATAAATATTAGCTGCACAGAAACTTTTTTCTTTCTTTTTTAGCTATGGTTCAAAAGGGTAGCGGTGGCTAACTTGGGATAACAAAAGTATTTCTCTGGTTAGTATTTACTCAAGTTCAGATTATTTTTAGTAAGTGTTAGGCCAACATAGTGGAAGCAAATGTGCTTATGCCTAAGTACTCACCCACTGGTCAGGTCTGCAGAGATTTAACTCATTTGGTGAAGTATAGTCATATATCACAGAATGAGGTTTTAGTCAACAACAGACCACATATACTGCTGTGGACCCAAAATATTATATAGCCTGGTACCTATAACCATCTTAGTTTATATATGTTCATTCTATGATGTTTGTACAATGATGAAATTGATGCATTTCTCATAATTCCCTGTAATTAAGCAATGCATGACTGTAAATATAGCAATACCACTGTACCTTTTAACAAGAGCTATTCCAAATGCAGGGAGTTACTGACATTCATGTATATGTATACATATGTATTCATATATATGTGATATTAATGTATTTAGCATAGGACTATATTTATGTATAACAGAATGTATTTTGTATATAAATTATGTATTACACAAGTATATAAAATAAAAATACACATATATCACATATAAAATTTGAAAAATACAGAACTAAATTTAAATTTTGAAGTGAAATATTTAGCTGGCAATCTCAATTTCTGAAATGCTTCATGATGTATATTTATTTTTGTCAAAAGCATACAACACTATTCAGAAAAATTAGCCCTGACTTACTTCAGCACATTCTGTACCAAGATCCCCGCGACGACTCCCATGGTGGTTGGAAGACTGGCCGCACAAACGCCTTCTCGCTTCAGAGTCTTCTCATCAATATTTGCAGCAACCACGAGTGGTGGTGCGCACTACACAAAACAGCACAAAGGAAACAATTTTAGGAGAAATACGGAAAAGAATGAGATGCTCCAAGTAGCGTTCCATAGAGTTTGTTTTCCTTTGAACTGAAATCCACTTTCAATTCTCCTTAGAATACGAGGACCTAACAATGAAAAATGTTCCAAAACAAATAATACGTACCGCAAAACAAGCAGATTCTCCAGGAATTATGAGTTGGATATGCCCTGAAACCGCATTTTCACTGACCCCAGATTCCATCCACGTTTGTCCAAGTTCATTACAAGCCTTAATAGAAATAGGTAAAAACACAAGGAAAAAAAATGAAAGAACACAAAATAATTTCAGTAAGTTTTTTGTGAATTAGGCTATAACTCGGTGACCCACCAAGAATTTCTAAAAATTAATTTCCCAGATGAAAGAAGATTGAAAATAACTGCATTTTCTGGCAATTACCACGCTCTCTTAAAGAGCAAACTGTCAGTACTCAAAAAGCAGACAGTAAATAGCTATTAATTAAATTGAACTGTAGTTTACAATTTCTTATCCAATTAATGGAAAAATTTATTTTTCTAAAATTTCAGTAACAAAATCTGCACATCATCATCTCAACAGTTAAAACTTCAAAAGAAAAAGATATTTATTTTTGAGAAATTATGTTTTTAGTCAATGTATTTATACCTTTACATAAGGTAAAAATTTAAAGCCAATGGTGATTAAGAATACATATTACAAATTATTCACATTTTACAAAATCACACATCAGAAGCATTTGCTATTATGCTATTATTACTAGCATAATCGAAAGGGATACTGTAATATACATCACAGCAGTAAGGCTAAACAGGTTCCACAGTTACTATCATGAATTTTAAAAGTAGACTAAGAGAACATCAAAAATAAACACAAAAATGGGCTTAAATTCAGAATTGCTTGACGGTTGCCAATTGTATACTGATAATAGGAAAACAGACAAGCCCACAAGTGTAACATCTTACACACCAGGAATACTCACTGTATTTATTGCCATTCGAGCTTCAAAATTGTCCACACAGCTAAGAACTAGATCAACGGGCTTTCCTTCTTCTAATCCACCATTACTAGTAAAGACAAAAAATTTTTTTAAAGTCAGAAAACAAAATACATTCTAATTAGACTTTTGTTTAGTCAGTTTTATTCTTTCATTAAATGTTAAAGTATAAATATAATACAGTATTTAAAATTAAAGATCTTGGGGCTGGGGATTTAGCTCAGCGGCAAAAGCGCCTGCCTGGCAAGCGCAAGGTCGTGAGTTCGGTTCCCGGTACCGGAGAAAAACCAAAAAATAAATAAATAAATAAAATAAAATTAAAGATCTTGTAAATATCAAGTGTTGATACTATTAACATTAAAAGGTTGAAGCAAGTATATTCAGAAAAGTTACAATTTCCCTATCAGATTTCTCAAACTTATTCATGCTCACTATAAATGTAAATTTAGTAAAAGTTAATCAAATGCAATTCATTATTTCAAAAATGCTCTGAACTGTGTCTAAAGAAAATCATTTTAGGAGAGAAAAACAATCCAAAACACAGAACTTGACCATGTGTGGCAGCGCACACCTGTAATCCCAGCACTCAGGAGGCAGAGGCAGGAGGATTGCTGTGAGTTTGAGGCCAGCCTGGGTTATATAGTGAACTCAAGGCCAGTTTCAACTACACAGGGGGATCCTGTCTCAAAAATAAATACATAAATAAATAAATCACAGAACTTAAACTTAAGTATCCTTTGTTAAGCTGTTGTAATTTTCAGGTTTTCTTGTTTTGTTTTCTGGGTTTTTTGTGCTTGCTTATTTATTTTTTCATTCTTTCTTTAGACAGTATTTTTTTACTGAGCTTCTAAAACATAAAAATTGCTAGTTTTAAAAACTCAAAAATTTATGTCAATCTACAAATTCAATGATTTAGTTTTCTAATACTTATTTAGTTTTCTAATACTTATTTAGCTGAGCTGCATATTCTACAACATATTTATAAGTAAAAATTTTACCTTATTCTATCCATGAAATGTTGAAAGTTTTCCATTGTGGTTATATTATAGTTGTGAACTTCAAAAAGAACATCAGGATTAATGTTCCTAAGAGTGAAAAAGGAAATGATTATAAAACTGCTAGCAGTGAGAATAGTAAGAAAAAGCCGAAAGGAAAGCATTCAATAAACTCAAGAGCTTTTAACATACTTAAGGCAAGTGGAATTCAAGTCATTCAAAGAAAATCCAAAATCCTGTTCTACCTCTTTTGTCCCACATCAAGGACAGGTTTAAAAAGGTGTAGAATGTCATTAAAGATTCTAAAAATTTTCCTGCCTCAACCTGGACTAATTTATGTGCTAGGAATTTAGCCTTTCCTACTTCTGACAAAAGACCTTCTTTGTTCCCTATCCAATTTGTACACGGATGTTGAGCCTCCAAATATGCCTGTACTGAACTGAACAGGAGCTGGCAAACTAGGAAACCTTGGGCCGTATCTGGCCAGCCATTTGTTTTTATATAGCCTTTGAGCAAAGAATGTTTTTCTACCAGTTGAAGAAAAAAATTCAAAAGACTATTTCATGATATGAAAATGATATGAAATTCAAATTTCAGAATCCAAAAATAAAGTTTTATTTGAGCAAAGATGCACTCTTTCATTTATGTGTCATCTGTGGCTGTGATCACGCTACCGTTCCACAGTTAAGCAATGGGAACAAGGACTATATGGCCTCAAAGGCTAAAGTATGTGCTGTATACCCCTATACAGAAAAGATCTGCAACACCTGTCCAAAGGTAAGAGAATTTTTTTGTACAATTGAAATCTGCATTTTTATAGAGAAAAATTAAAGGCCATTTATACATTAGGTCAACTTACACTGTACATACAAAATAAGATTTTGCTGACAATGGTCATTAATTGCAATTCCATTTACCTCAAAGTATGCTCTGCTGCTTGAACTTTACTCAATCCTGCTTGATGAGGTTGGAAGAAAAGTCTGTTCATATTGGCTAGTTCCACCTTGTCATAGTCAAAGAGTAGCAACTAAAATAGAAATACAGGTGTTTCAATGAAATACAAACCAAAAAAACTAAAAAAAAACTAATCATAAACAAGTACACTTTATACTTGATGGTTTTAACAGTTTGATAATAACATTAGCTGACTCTAAGATACTAGCTTCCATATATTGATTAATTCACTGAATGTGCATGTGAGGAAAACACACAGGTACTACTGTTCTCATCCCAGAGACAAGAAAACTAAGGCACCCATGGCCCAAAGACCACTCAGCTTATATGGAGTAAAAATTGGATTCAAATTCAGGGACTCTTTATCCAGCGTCTGTCCCCTCACCTCAGTGCTGTGCTGCCTCTCTAAATGGGTTCACTGAGAAGCTAATGTTCAGTCGTTTCATTCTGATTTTTAAAAATTGTGCCAAAATCCTATTTCATGCCTATTTTTTCCCTAAGGGAAAAAAAGAGAACCTTTTGGATAAATGAAATCTTTAAATAAGATTAAAGAAAACTATAAAGATAAAAAACTGTATGATAAAACTATAGTACAACTTGACTCCTTTTGTATAACACAATATATACCCAGGCCTAGGCGAAAACATTATTCCAAAGAGAATTTATGAGCCAACCAGTTAGTTGTCTCCTGCTATATTCTGAGGCCCGCTTTAAACAGTGCTCGTCACATACACCATTTCAAATGGTCAGAAGACCAGATTTCTTATCTCTGCCAAGGATTTCCAAGATCCCTTCCCGATCTAAAATTCTAACTGAATTTTAGTGAATCTCTAATATAATTCTCAATACCTTAAATTTAATAATTAAAAATGAGATTTTGTTCAATATAAAAACTTTAAAAAATTAACAGGGTATAACAACACTCAGAGAATTCTTTCTAATATCTTGCTAGAAAATATCACTTACGCCCTCTGTAACAGTCTAATCTTAAACACTCCAAAACATGGTTTACATAAGCTCATTTAACAAATACTTACCAGGTGAGGCCACGTATTAAATCTGAGTCTCTGCCTCATTGCTTGTTCATAAGTTGCAGGAAATTGAAATTTGGAAACAGGAGGTGTGAGTTGTTAAATATCACCAAATAGCTTTGATCACTTTGGTATTTTAGGCCTGTGTTTTTACCAATAAAGCAAAGCAGTGACATAGACATGGTAATCCAGGTTGCCCCAGAGGCTTTCTGAGATCTGAAATTGGCTCTGCATCTCCAGCTCCCACGCTGTATTCAACTTCATCAGTTTCTTGTTAATCTGTTTTACAGGTTAAAGAGTTCCTGGAACTCACCTGATTTTTTAGTTTACAAACTTAAGTGCACACTAGGATCACTTGGGGAGTTATAAAATGCAAATGTTTGCATCTCAATGCCAGACCTTTTTTTTTTTTTTGAGACAGGGTCTTGCTATGTAGCTCAGGCTGGCCTCAAACTTGTAATGATTCTCCTGCCTCAGCCTTCCAAGTGCTGGGATTAGAGGCATACACTTCCATGTCCTGCTTCAACACCAGAGATTCTGATGTTTCCTATCATGGAGTGCAGTTTGGACATCAGAATTGTTTCAAACAATTGAAACAATTGTTTGACTTCTTCCCAGTTAATTCTAATTAGAGCAATAACTGATAAATACTATTCTAGATCTTCGTTACACAAAATATGGTCTAGCTGTGCAGAATCAGTATCACTTGGAGCTTGTCAGAAGGGCAAAAGCACTTTCCCAATTTTAATACAACTAGCTGTTAAACTAAAGATTTGGCTAATGCTACTTTGGGGACCTGACTTGGAGTAACGAAAGTCCAATGGGTTTCAAAGTTTAGTATCCTGGATGTCATCGGGGTCACCTGAAACTTCTAGGTACTGAAGTCAACTATATGTAATTTCTGTCTACCTTTGTAAACCTCCTGAAAGAAATCAATGCTTTAATAAACAATTTTTGTATTTTGGTGTTATCCTTTTCTATACTGATGAATGAATGACAATTCTGAAATCACTTTAAGAGTTTGGGAGGACCAACATACTAAAAAGCATCCATAAACTATATGGAAAAAAAATGTCTGCTTTACCAAAATGACAAGTTAAGAAATATAGCTGTGGAAAGGTTATTTACTAAACCACTTTTGTCTAACATCATAGACTTTGGTTTTATAAACCTAAGACTGAATTCTGGTATAAGGTTACTTCTTCCTACCCACAATCCAAATCAATTTTAAAAAGTAAAAAGAAAAAGTCAGGTGTTGTGGTACATGCTTGTAATCCCAGCACTTGGGAGGATGAGGCAAGAGGACTGCTCCGAGTTCAAGGCCAGCCTGGGCTACATAGTGAGTTCAAGATCAGACTGAACCACATAATGAGACCTTGTCTAAAAAATTAATTAACTGATTAATTCATTAAAAATGCACAGCAAAGGAAACCACTAATAGAGTGAAGAGATAACATACAGAATGAGAAAAAAATTTTGCCAGCTGTTCTTCAAATGACTAATAGTCAGAAGATATAAAGAACTCAAGGGCCAGGGATACAGCTCAGTGGTACAAGTGCCTTTGTGGCAAGCACACGGTCCTGGGTTAGATTAATGGTACAAAAAAAAACCCAAAAAACAAACAAACAGAAGAACTCAAAAAAATTAGACTCCTCAAATTTAAAGTACCAAATAAAAATGGGCATCTGAAATGAGTAGATACTTCTCAGATGAATAAATACAAATGACTAATAAATACATGAAAAAAATGCTCATCATCACTGGTCATTCGAGAAATGCAAATCAAAACAACACTGAGATTCCATCTCACTCCAGGAAGAATGCCTACCATCAAGAAATCAACTAGTAACAAATGCTGGTGAGGCTGTGGGGAGAAAGGAACCTTTCTCCATTGCTGGTGGGACTATAAATTTATACAACCACTACGAAAATCAATATGGAGATTCCTAAAGAAACTACAAGTAAAAATTTCATTTGACCCAGCTATTTCCCCTCTAGGGATCTTCCTAAAAGAATTAAAGACATTATACCACAGTGATGTATGAATACCCAAGTTTATAGCAGCACAACAAATCTTAGAAACAGTCTCTATGTCCTCTAACAGATGAATGGATTAAAAAAGGTGGTATTTATACACAATGGAGTACTACTCTGCCATAAAAAAGATAAAGTAGTCATTTGTAGGAAAAGGGATGCACCATAATATTAAATGGAGTAACTCAGACATACAACTTTAACAGCATATGGTTTCTTGTGTATGAAAAATTTGAATATATATAAAGCATGAAATAAAAGACATAACAGGAAAGAGAAAAAAATTACTGTAATTCAGGGCAATGTTTCTAGAAGTGCATACTGATTTAGTACAATTGTCTTACCTATTTCATACATTTTTTTGGCCAAAAAAAATGCATGGGTAAAAAAAGTCTGGACTATTCTCTAGTTTAAATTCAACAGTAAGATCAGTACATGTGTTCTGTGATAATTATATGATCTAATACAATATGTTTGTGATAATTATGTATCCAATACAACATTTATTAAGATGTTTTAGTGTTATACTTACACACTTTATTAACTTATTTTTAAATTACTTTTATTGGTACATTTTAGATATGTATAATGATAACATTCATCATAGAGCATTTCTGTACCTGTACAGAATAATTTTAATCTTTTTCACATTCCCCTCCCCTCCTTTCAACCCCTCTTCCCGATTTACAAAAGCTTTGTTTCCATTTTTTCATCCTAGCCTTTTTTCATTTTCCCTTCCCTCCTCCTCCCCTCTCCTTAGTTCCCTTTCCCATTTGAACATTTTTGTCCTATTTTACCATATCTGTTATACATTTTGGTCCCTATTTACTCTTTTGGTTTCTCACACCAGAGAAACCATGTGATATTTTAACATGTGTGTCTGATTTATTTCACTTAAGAGTATGGTCTCAAGCTGTATCCATTTACCTAGATATGTCTTAAGTTTACCCTTCTTTATGGCAGAGTAGTACTCCATTGTGTAAAAAACCAAATCTCCTTTATCTACTCATCAGTTAATGGGCATTTGGGTTGTTTCCAAGATTTAGCTATGACAAACCATGCCACTATAAACATGGATATGCATATACTGCTATGGTATGATTTTAATTTTCCTGGAAAGATACCTAAAAGAAGAATAGCTGGGTAAATGCAGCCTCTAGTTTTAGTTTTTTGAGGAATCTCCACACTGATTTCCACAGTGGTTGTACCAGTCCACACTCCCACCAGCACTGGAAAAGGATTTCTTTTTCCCCATAGCCCTTCCAGTATTTGTTATTGGTTGATTCCTTGATTAGAGCCATTCTTTCTGAAGTGAAATGGAAACTCAGCACTGTTTTAATTTGTATCTTTTGAATGACCAGTGATGCTGATCACTTTTTCATATATTTATTTGCCATTTCTACTTCTTTGTCCTAGAAGTGTCTATTGATTTCAGATGCCCATTTTTCGATTGAGTTTTAAATGTGGGGAGTCTGATTTTTTTTAGTTCTTTATATTCTAGATATTAGTCCTGTGTCTGAGTAACAGATGGCAAAATTTTTTTCCCACTCTATGGGTTGTCTCTTCACACTGTTGGTGATTTCTTTTGCTGTGCAAAAGCTTTTTAATAAAATGAGATGCCAGAGCCAGGCGTGGTGGCACATGCCTGTAATCCCAGCACTCAGAGGATCATTGCAAGTTCGAGATCAGCCTGGGCTACAAAGTGAGCTCAAGGCCAGCCTGAACTGCATAATGAGACCCTGTCTCAAAACGACCAATAAATAAATAAATAAATATAAGATGAGATCCCAGTTATTGATTCTTTCTGCTATTTTCTATGCAGTTGGAGTTTTGTTCATAAAGTCTTTGCCTTCACCTACATCTTCAAGAGATCTATCTTCTAGCAGATTTAGAGTTTCTGTTTTAATATTTAGATCTTTGAATCTTTGATCTATTTCAGTCCTTGTTTTTTTTTTTTCTTTGATCTATTTCAATTTTAGTTTACTATATGGTGAGAGAATGGGTCTAGTTTTAGTCTTCAGCATGTGTAAAGCCAGCTTTCCCAGCACTATTTATTAAAGAGGCTATCTTTCTTCCAGTGAAATTGTTTGGCTCCTTTGTCAAAGATGTGGGGACTGAGTACGTTTCAAGTTGTTTCTGCATCTTCTAATCTAGCCTATTGATCCTTAGATCTGTTTTTGTGCCAATACCATACTGTTTTATCACAGTAGCTTTGCAGTATAATTTCAAGTGAGGGACTGTGATGCCCCTGCCTTGCCTTTGTTGCCCAGAATTGCTTTTGCTATTCCAGACTCTATCAGTTTAACAGTCTTCTTTTTCTAAGGTTGTATATCTAAGAGAACTAAGTTTAAATTATTTATATATTACCCCAAACAAAAAAGGTCCTGGACACAATCTTGTTCAGCAATAGTATCAGCTTTCATTTGGAAGAGATGTGTCCTAACTTTTTGGGTAAGAGAATAATATGATTATACATCACAAACAAAATACAGGTCATTTATATTGAGGGAAAAAAGCTCCTAATTGGTACCTGATTTGCTCCAGGGGTGAATTGTCTATATGACAAGCAAAGAAAAATACTTTTACCTTACCAATGCCACATCTTGTCAGCATTTCAGCAGTCACACTACCAACTCCTCCAACACCTACTATTGCTACAGCAAAGGTACGGATTTTCTGTAAAACAAATTTATATATGTATTGGTTAATTAACTCGACCTAATTTGCCACCGGAAATTTTCATTTTTTGAAATAATCTTCAGAAATGTAGTTGGGTTTATCATACCTCATAGTCGCTTACGATTCCCATTCGTTTCAATGCCATCAGCCGGCTTTAAACAAAGAAAAAAATGTTTTAATGCTTACAGTCTTTTAGTTAATAGCGATATAAATGTAGATCACCACAGAAAATAAACAAAAGTCTACCTGTAGGCCTCCTTTAAAAGGAAGAATCTTTTAGCTAGCCTTTGTCAGGTGAAACTAAATTACTGGATAGCTTCAAAACCAGATGGTTATGCAACCTCGTAGGTGCAGTCTATGAAACAATGCATTTTTTTAAAAGCTCCTTCTGTTCTAATGTGCAGCTAAGACCCACATGTACTGACTTAAATGTTAAGAGTCAAAGCAAAATGTAAACATTTTTTCCACCTTTGTACAGCTAGACATTCAGTGTTTAATGGTCAGTGTCCACCATCAGAATGAGTTCATGGATAAAGTCCATTTACTTATAGCCTCTATCCACAATGGATAATGTCTACTTTTAGTAAGCACCTACTCTATTCCAAGGACCCTCAGAGACACTTTAGCTAGTGACTGCTAACTTGTTCTCTTAAGTTTTAAAGTTTTATACATGTGTACAGCTTAAATCTATATACATGTATGTATAATTTTCATTTGCTTACACTTTAAGGAGTCAAACAGATCCACCTAGGCTTATTAAGGAATTCAGCAGTCCTCTGTTTTAGCATCTGCTCTATCATCGTATCTCGGACTTATATGCTGACATTATTATTTCTTTTCAGGGTTATGCATTATCTGAAGATTTTACTCTTACCACCCATCTCTACTACACAGACGCCCCTACCCCATCAGCCTAATACTATTTTATGATCACTTTGCTTAGATATTATCCTTCACAACTGAGTATACAGTATTTCAAAGCCTTCCCTTCCCCACATAAATGCCATTCTTTAAAGATAATAATTGTGTTTCTCCTTATTCTTAATTTCCTATGTATTTCCACTTACTAAATCCCAACTTTTAACTCGTTCTCTAAAATCCCTTTAGATGGGGGTGAGGATTTAGCTCGGTGGCACAGCGCCTGCCTGGCAAGCACAAGGTCAGGAGTTTGACTCCCGGTACCGGAAAAAACCAAACCAAATAAAATCCGTTTAGATACTGTCATATGAATGAGTTCTTCTATTACTATCATCTTTGTGTTTGTCTGGGGTGGGTACTGGGGACTGACCCAAAGGTCTTCACACTAAGCTTTCTCTCTAATTTTTTTTTTTTTTTTTTTTTTTTAAAGACAGGGTCTCACTAAATCACCTAGACTTGAGACTGTACTGTTTTGGCCTTCCAGAATGCTGCCATAACACGTCCTGCTCAATGTTTATCTTCTTAAAGATGAACATATCTCCAAAATCTGATACAGTGTCTTAACCTACTATATACACAGCTCTGTTCCTGGGATCTCCCTTTGTAATTATACTATAAATTTTCTTCATTTATCTCATATTAATCACATGCTGCCTTGTATCACATAGCTCAGTGGTTCTCAAGTGTGGTCTTGAGAACAGCAGCAGTAGCTCCTGAGAACTGGCTAGAAATTCAATTTCTTGGGTCTCATCCCACCCTCTGAATCAAAAATTTTGGATGTGCGGTATCATAGCTTTCCTCATGATAGTCTACCCTGTGTCCTCCAGGCTGTACTTTTCTGTTGGTTTTCCTCTTTAACTCAGCCTAAGCTCATTCTGCAGAGCCAGTTTCTCCCTCACTCTTCACTTTTACTTTTTCAAATAAACTTTGTGACTGTTTCAAAAATATTTTTTGTATGTGGAGCCTATTTTAACAAGCCTTCCAAGTAATTCTGATGCAAACTACAGTTTGAAGCCTTTGCTATAGATTATTCCTTAATTTACTCTCTTATGGTTAGAAGATCTTTCAATAGTTTTGCAAAAGGGAACTATCAAGGTAAACTGTGAGAACATGAATGCTAGAATATTTTTTTATCAAAACTCTATTGTTAATAAAAATGACAGGGTATATAATTATGGAAAGCCACACATACAAAAGTAACTGACAGCTTAACTTGACATAGAAGTCTAAAGTTGGGAAGCATTTTCCCTTAAAATTTTTTAAGTTATTACTCCAGTGACCAATTCTAGCCTCTGATACAGTATTTTACCATGTGTTTATGTAAATCCATTTTTATCCACTGTGCTGAGTACCTGATGAACCTTTTCAAACTAGAAACTTACATTTTTGAGTTCTGGGAATTTCATTTAAAATTAGTTATTTTCTTGCCTGGTTTGTTTTCCCTGGATTTTTGTGGCATTGCCATTATTTGGAAGTTGGTCCCCCTGGACTTGTCTTTACTTCTATTTCCTAGGTCCAATTTTCCACTGTTTTGGTTTTCTGCTGTAGGTAATCTTTCAACTTTATTTCCCAATCCTTCTATTGAGATTTTCATTTCTGTTACCATCTCCATTCACAGGGAATTTTTTAAATCATCTGTATGATGCTTTTTACAGTACCTTGTTCCTATTCCATTTATACAATAGCTTTTCTCATTGAGGATGCTAACAGTAATTGAGAAGAATGTGTTTCCTATCCAAATTGCTGTTTCTATTTTATTTCTTTCATGTTAGGAGATTCTTTCAGCTTTTGTTTTAATCGTCTTTAAGAGCAGGACAATATTAAAAGTAAGGAAGTGGGCAGCACTTTTTGATTTTCAGCTTGTCGGGCAATTTAGCCAGGACCTTTAACTGAGAACCCTAATGTCAGTGTTGCTGAGTTTCTCTGGCTCTATGAAATTTTGCAAAGAAGAACTGCTCTTACTCAAGAAAAAAAGGGTATCACTAAGATCTCAAAAAATAAATGCTGGTAAGGTTGTGGGGAAAAAGGAACCCTTTTATTTTGTTGGTGGAAATGTAAACTAGTACAAACAGTATGGAAATCAGTTCAGAGATGCCTCAAAAACCCAAAACTAGAAATCCTATTTCACCCAGCTATACCTCTTTTGCATATCTTGCCAAGAGAGTTAAAGTCATCACATTACACTTATATATGCATACCCATGTTCACAGCAGCACAACTCACAAAGTTAAATCTTGGAAATAGCTCATATAAGCATAGCAAAAGATGAATGGATACAGAAAATGTAGTATTGTATATAAACACAATGAAGTACTATTCACCCATAAAGGATAAATTTGAGTCATGTGTAGGAAAATGGAGGTACCTTGAGTCCACAATGGTAAGTGAAATAAATGAGACACAGAAAGTTAAATATTGGATGGTTTCTCTTACATGAGAAATCCAAAGTACAGATAAAAAGCAAAATAAAAGCTGGATGATAGGAAACAAGGAGATAAACTTTTTGGAAATGGGAAGGGATTGGTGGGAGGAGATGAAAGGGAGGGAAGGGAAAGTAAAAATGGTCAAAATGTGATATATATACATACCAATTCCCCATGATGAATATATTTATTATGTACCACAAACATAATAAAGAAAAAAATGTTGAAGAATTTTTCAAACTCCAACTGGAAAGATATTTATTCCTGGCTGTAAGCCAGGGCAGTAAAATGGAGACATGTGAGTATGTAAGTATTCAGTTTACTCTCACGTGACATTGTTTATCCCTTGCTTTAGGCATAAAAACCTGTCCCAGTTATTGATAAAAATTCTGTTACGCTCTCTCCAATAAATCAATCTCTAATCTTCTGTCCTAGTAGGCAAGGGCATTTACTCAGCCACCCACAGTGCAGTAGGGGCCCTTGAGCCCTGTTTTGTTGTGTTGTTTTAAGATTTTCAATCAAAAGGTTTTTTTGTTTTTGTTTTTTTGAGACAGGGTCTCACCATGCAGTTCAGGCTGGCCTTGAGCTCACTCTGTAGCTCAGGCTGGTCTCAAACTCACAACAATCTTCCTGCCTCAGCCTCCCAAGTGCTGCATGTGCCACAACACCCAGCAACCAAAAGGTTTTTAACCTAATTTAAGCCCTTCTAGAAGTACCTGTGCCCATTCCCAAGTCTTTGGGGGGATTCTGTAGTGTAAACTGGGATACAGGCTTAAGATTCAACTTCTTAGAATCTGTTAAACCAGTCTTGCTTCATTCATCCTTCTTCTAGTTTCTAAAATTATGTCACTGTAATCTTCAAAAATAGGAATCAGGTCTTCTTCCCCTAATTAGTAATAGAAACCTATTGTTTTCAATGGGGGTTATTCCTCTTTTAAAAAGTTCCTTCACTGTCACTTTAGTGATACTGGGGAGAAAGTGATAGTAAAATTCCTGTGATCCATCTTTATCTTGATGCTCCCTTTCATCTTTACAAATAACTCTGAGAAGAATGTATTGCACCCCCCCTTTAAAGTCAGAGAAAAAGAATAGGGTTAATTTTCTGCACATGCCCAGCTAACTGGCAAACCATACTCAGGGCTGTTCCTGAGTAGGATTTGAAACTAGGCATTCTAGTCTCAAAACCTCTCCGTGTGTTCTCGTTTCCCTACGTGTTACAGTCATACTCTGCACCATGTAACTCAGTTATTTGCTCTTTAGTGTTCTGTGTCCATTTAGTCTCCCAACTAAAGCAAAAAGACTTTGAGGGTCAGGGAATTTATTTCTTTTGCATCAGTTGATGCAGTTAAATGGTATCAAGATCTACAAAGTACAGGGTAACTAGAAAATACAGAGTCATTTATAGGAAAATGGAGGTACCTATTTTCTACTTATCCTGGACTTGCCCTACCATAATTCCTGCCACTTATTGTAACTGCCTATTTTCTTTGATGTCTCTCTCATACTTCTTTAGGAAACTTTGTGTATTTTGTATTCATGGTGTCTGTGCACAAGAAATACCCAGTAAGGATGGCTATAGATAGATAAAGATGTGCTCAATCAATGTTTGAGCTAAATGAGTAGCGATTTTAAAAAGAAAGACAAACCAAATTTTCACATACTACAGTTATCAACTGGTATCTCCTATGTGGCAACTTTTTAAAAAGACAAACAGTGCAAATGAGATAGAAAATAATACATGTTTAGACTTGGGCTCTGAAATTTTTGTTTGTAATTACACTGTCCTTTGTATTTCAACTTGGAGCAAGAACTTCAAAGTCTTCATTTCAAATTTGTAAAATTTAAAAACGTTTAAAGAAGTCAAACTGGAATAGTTTCCACTTCTAATCAGAGATACCAGTTTATGCTTATTCAATCCAAAAATTTTGGAACATTATCCCTTTGTATTTGGCAATACGGTTAAAACAGTGCACCCCAACACTGCCAGTGATGCTTTGTGTGTCAAAACAAGTAAGACCTTTTTTAAAAAACCAAAACTTTCATTTCATCTTCCCTATTTCACCTCGGTTATCCAGTTTTTAGCCATACTTTGAATTACTTATTTCCTTTTTTTTTAAGATAGGGTCTTGCCAAGTTGCCCAGGCTGGGCTCAAATTTGCAATCTGCGGCCTTAGTTTTCCAGAGGACTGGGATTACATGCTACACCACCAGGTTTATTTACTTTTACTGGAAGACAATTCCATGTGAAAACAAATGTAGCATCAATTCAGACTTCATTACTTACTGCTGTAATCTAAAGCAGCTCTTTGGTCCTCATTTTCTCATCTATAAGATGGAGTAAAATACTAGCCATGGCACAGGGTGTGGTGAGAGGAGGCCATGTGCTGAGCACAGTGAAAGCTCAATAACTGCTTTCCACTAAATGTAATGAGCAATAGTCTTGAATAAGGCTCAACCATGTACAATCATTTTTCTGAGAATTTTACACACACTGGCTTTTTCAATTCTCAAAACTGTGACAGAGGTATGGAATGCAATGCCCTCCTTATAGGTAAGAAGCTGAAGCGGAAAGGCTCACAACATGTTCAAGTTTACCTGTCTACTAAGCGCTGCGATTTGAATCCAATCCGCCTCGCTTTGGAGCCCATCTCCTTAACCACTGCACCGCACTCTGCCTGTCGCGCTGACAAGCCTTCTGAAGGAAGGAAGGGTCAGGCAGGCCTGGCGAAGTCTGACACACGAGGCTACCCGAAAATCCCAGATGAGGGCTGACCCTGCTCCCTGCCGCCCTACCCCCCATCTACGACACTGGGAAGCTCGCACGAAACTCGAACTTGCTGCCTAGCGGGCTTTACACCTGACTCGATGTCACCATCAGTGTCGCAGAACGAGGCGGACGACGAGGGGCGAGGGCGACGGGACGCTGAACGCAAGGAAGCCGGCGCGGGAGCAGCACCATATGGGCCGCTCACTAGGGTTTATATTCTTAGAGAAAACACTGGAGGTCTGCACTCTGGCGTGGTCTCGCCGTCGCGGAACGGGATGCCCAGCCCACGGGAAGGAGGTGGGGCCGGGGCGGGCAGGGGCCTTACTCGGGACCCCATCCCCGCCGCCCGCCTTCCGGCGACGCGCCGCGCCGCTCACCTGTAGGGGTTGGAGTCCACCACCTCGGCGCTCATCCTCTCGATGCGGGCCCGGCCGCCCCCGCCGTCGCCGTCCCCGGGGACCCGCCGACTCTTCTCCCGGGCGAGTTCCCGCTCCAGCTCCCGCACCCGCTGCTGCAGCCGCTCC